TTTTCAGTGTATACAACAAACTAGGTGCTATATGCAGTTATCTGTTAGGAACTACATAAAGCAGAATATAGAAACATGCAAAACACATTTACTTGATTACTTAGTAAAATAAATCACTTATTGTGTAAATGAGCTTTAATGCTTTAACATGGACTGATTTTAAGCTAATGCACTACAAAATTGAACTTGTAGAAACAGACAATGTATGGCTCGTAGATAATTGGAAATACAATAAAAACACAGCATGATGGTTTCAGAAACCTTCTGTAGCAATTGTGCACACAGAAATGGACGCGGTTCGACCATTTTGCTCCAACCTCCATCTTGGCAAAGGATCATCCATCTTGTACAAATATAACTTTCCTCATCCCCCTCCCTCTCTGAGATCCACAGTGACATGTGGTCGGTGTGTGTGTTGGAAGTGTCACAGGCAGGCCAGAGCACAGCAGGGAGCTCCAAGCTATAAAACCTCTCTGAGCTGGGTTCTGGGCTGTCTAAGAAACTGTGCAATCTGGCACCTCGTAAAAGTATAACCCACGCCTTCCCCTGAGTTCAAAGACATTCCAGAGGAGTCATAAACTAGATACCACTTTTAAAATCCATTTTCCCCCTATGTCTCATATCTTGGAATATGAGAGACTTACATAAAAACCAGGCATATCTTCAGATTGGTCACGAAAAGACAAACCGTTTGATATGTCACACTCCTTGGCTGGAATATATAGGAAAGCAGAAAATGACATCTCTTTAACCATTCGAGTATGTATTTCATATTTCACATCTAACTGTTCTGCAGATGCGTCTGCATATTAATCTTCCCGTGGGTGGAATGTTACTTGTGCCTAGGAATGGTTATGAGCCAAAATATAAGCTATGAGAGATTTTGGTTCTAGCTTGGGTCTCCGCCTAGACACCCCCTCCCCAAATGAGACATTGCTGGGGGACTACAAAATAGGCTGTCAGGCCTAAGAGTGGAAGTTGAAGAATTCTCCCTTTTAACATCAGAACCAACTTTTGCTCTGAAACTTGATCTGCTTAACCCAGGACTTTTGGCAAGTACTCTACCTCTCTAAACTTCTTTCTGTTACCTCTTTGCTGTGTTCTTGCTTTCTGTGTATTTATATATATATATATATATATATATATATATATATATATATATATATTGGTTACATCTTTTTTCTGTAAATATTTTTATTGCACCCTTTTGACCTTTTAGTAATAAATCTTTCTTTCTGAAAGTGTTGAACTTTTTCTAAAGCTCCTTAATGCAACTTACGAATTCATGCCGCTGAAGAATACTACTATGTGTGTTTAACCCTCTGTATAACTTGTCTACGGTGACAGTGGTATACAGATGATTAATCCAATCATCCTAGTGTTATTGCTGATATTGCCGAGTTTCCCCTTCCTCTGTACAAAAAGGAGGTGGTGGCAGTGTGAAGGGTTAATTGCGTAATTAACCTGACCCAGTAACAATCGCGCTCAGGCTGCCGGTACATCGATTTGTGGTCCAGTGAGCTGGAAAATCGTTGTGCAGGGTGCAGCTGGGCATGGCATTGTTACGTGACATCGCGGTTTTAGATTGGCTAGTCCTTCGGTCACGAGTTTGGTGAGAAGGTCAGTAGTCTGAAGCCGCAATCGTCACACCTTCCACTATAATAAAAAAAAAATCAAGTTTAGAATTAGTGTATTGACCGGACGTCAAAGGAATAATGTAAAACCTGGAAAAGCTATTGTTTTTCATTTTCAGAATGAAGTAAAATCTGTTGTACTGTGTAAAATGATGCAGGATATTTGCAGCCACCACACCTAAGGACTGGTAAGTTAAAATAAATTACATTTGTATTTATATATTATTATTATATAGGATTTATATAGTGCCAACAGTTTATGCAATGCTTCACATCATAAGGGCAGATGGTACAATTACAATACAATTTAATACATTAGGAATCACAGGGCCTTGCTCATTAGAGCTTTCAATCTAAAAGGGAGGGTCAAGAGATACAAAAGGAAATAACTGTGGGGGATGAGCTGATGTAGAAGATAAAAGTAGAGTTGTCAAGTGGGGGCAGGGTAAGCCTCTCTGAAGATTATATATATATAACATTGTATTTGGGTTATGCTTTAAAGATATGCTTTAACTGCTTCCCGACTGCCCTATAGCAGAAACACTGCTACAGGGCGGCAAGGTTGCACAAAATCACACACACACACATATATATATATATATATATATATATATATATATATATATATATATATGTGTGATTTTGCATTTCCGGGTAGGAGGCACCTTGCCCGTGCCACCATTCGCGGCCGTGGCTGTCAATCACTGGGTCCCGACCGGTGATTACTTTCCAGCGCCCGGTGATTGCCGAAGGATCTCCAACGTGGAGGAGAACTGTTTTGTTTACTAACAGTTCTCCACCCTGTCAGCTCGGGCACACTGCTTTGGATGGCTGTGCACAGCACAGCCATCCAAAGTAGTGTGCTTACAGTGAAGCACACTGACACTGCCCCCTAGTAAAAGACTCCATGCGCACAGTTAACCTTTTGATTCCCCCCCCCTCATGTTAACCCCTTCCTGCAGTGTCAGTGCTTTTTTTTTTTTTTAGCACTGTATTGGTGTCACTGGGGATGTCAATGACACCAAGTCAGTTCCCCCCCAGTTTTAGAATGGCCGCCGCAGTCCTGCTATAAGCCGCTGATCACCGCCATTACTAGTAAAAATAAAATTTAAAAATCCCAGTAAATATACCGCCATTTGTAAATGCTACAACTTTCATGTAAACCAATTAATTTACACATATTGGGATTTTTGTTTAGCAAAGACATGTAGCAGAATACATTGTGGCCTAAATTTATGACAAAATTTGATTTTTTAAAATTTTTTACTGAACATGTTTAATAGCAAAAAGTAAAAAAAAAAAAGTTTCTCAAAATTGTCAGTCGTTTTTTTTTTTTTTTTTTTTAAATAGTGCAAAAAATAACAAACACACAGGCAATCAAATACCGCCAAAAGAAAGCTCAATTTGTGAGAAAAAAAAGGATGTAAATTTCATTTGGGTGCAGCGTTGCATGACCGTGCAATTGTGAGTTAGAGTAATGTAGCTCCATAATGCAAGAAATGGCCTGGTCAGGAAGGGGTGTAAATCCTCTGGAGGGCAAGTGGTTAAACTTGTTTGCGCAAAATAAATGTTGATTATAATGTATTTATATTCTGCATTTGAGCATCAGTCAATAAGAATATTCTCATTACACTTACTACATTGTAGCTTGATTCAGGCCTAACACTTTTTTGTTTGATTGCCCTCCTGGATAATAGTTTTCTGAATGTCAGCTATGACTCCTTAGTGTGATGTTAACCTGTCTGAGCTTTGCTTCTGTCACAAAAGATAGTTTATTGTTCAAGTGACCAAAGTTATTTATAAAGCAGTAAATGTGACATACACCAAACATTCATCGCAGGTGTTTCTTTTTGGGGAATGTGTTTTAAGTTACAGCAATTGATTCATTTGCAGTGAATTTTTTTACAAATGCGAAATTCATTGGTTTATTCATATGCCCCTTGGCAACACCACATATTTTACACCTAAGCTATGGTGCTCAGGTCTAAGACTTGGTTCATACGTGTACGTGATGCCGCTGCAGATCCGCACGAACATCCGTGCAGCTGCACCACCCGCACAGAGGAATGCGGACCCACAGGCGGGTGCCATTAGTTCTAATGGCATGCTGCCCGCTCTGAAAAACGCAACTGTACTGGGAACCGAGGTTCCAGTGCGGGCTACATTTTCAGAAGAAGTGCAGGGACTTCTTTCCTATGTGTCATGGGCACGGGAGTCCATTCAAATGAAGGGGCTCTCGTGCCCACGCAAAACGTGGCCCGCACGGCCGCATATATGTGAACCAGGGCTGATTGTGGGTCCATGGATCAGATGCCCCATCGGTAACAATTTTAAATCATATTATAATTAGAAAATTGCTAATATAGGTAATAAAGTGTTGTTGGCTTTCCAATGCTACGATTGCAGCATCCATGGGACACTTCAGTGATCCCCAGACAATTCACTGGAGCGACAAGCCCTATGCTCTGGCTCCCAGCTGTACTCTGAAAGGTAAAGCCAGCTGCCAATAAAGCAGATACCAACACTATTGGCAGGTTATAATTTTTTGGGTGGTTGGCATTCCTGTTTCTTAATCTCAGATCAGTATTATTTTTCTTTTTTATTTTATTCTTTATTTCAAGAAAACTCTTAGTTACAGAGCCAATGATAAACATAATTACACCCCCAGTCAACAAATTAACAAAAAAACAGACAGGATGTATAACACTGAACTCTGTATATAGTACAACAAGTAATGTCCATCAAGTATATGAGAGAATTTCAGAAACAGTGACCTTAAAACAAGAGACCTGATGATCAAAATACACAAACACGTTTCCTTGTGTACTAAATAAACCATTGAAGACCAGAAAGGGCTGACAATGTAGAGATCTCATTTAATCAATAATACAAGTTGAAATCAACAAACACAGGGGTATAGAGGATGGTTTGGGCATAATTAAAAATGGGGAAGAGGAAAACAGAAGAACACACAAAAAGAATAGGGTGGGGAGAAAAAGGGAGCATAAGATCCACATAGCCTACAGCTGGAAGGGGAATGGAGAATAGGATTGCAAATGCCATAAAAGAGGAAGGAACTAAGAACTGCGCTCTAACCAATGTCCTACTGTAAATTAGAGTAATGCTCCAGTGCAGTGCAGAAGTCTCTCCAGTAGAACCAAGTTTTTTTAATCCTTCTTCCCTGTGGTACAGAGAAGCATTCAGGAACTCCATTCACATGAGGAGTAGAAGTAACGCTCACCAATTAATGTAGTTATGTACTCATTAAAGTCATTACATTTGTTTATTTAATGTTAGACAAGTGCAAGTGTCTGAATTTGACTTGGTATAAGCCTCCTGTAATTGCCTGTACAGCAGAGCTCAGACTGGGAGAGGGAGAGGCAGAACTATGAACCAATAAGGCACTGCTACATGTACATACTGTATACTGATAAGGAACCTGCTGATGGGAGAAGACCAGGGGCGGACTGACAACTCATGGGGCCCCCGGGCAATTGGGGATCATGGGCCCCTGTGTCCTCACCCACAGCTAAAAAAAGCCTATGAAAAAGCCAATTAAAGGTACCAGGGGCATCTCATGGGGCCCCCTACTGACCCTGGGCCCTCGGGCAGTGCCCGAGTGCTCAAATGGTCAGTCCGCCCCTGGAGAAGGCAACAAAATGATGACCTTCTAAGTCTGATTCTGCATTTTTATTGTGCAGCTATAGGCTCAGGCAGGGATGTGCTAAAGCTTTATTGCTTAATGGCAATACGCAGGGACGGACTGACCATTTGGAAACTCAGGCACTGCCCGAAGGCCCGGGGTCAGTAGGGGGCCCCATGAGATGCCCCCGGTACCTTTTTCATAGGCTTTTTTGAGTTTGGGCAAGGACACAGGAGCCCCATGATCCCCTATTGCCCGGGGGCCCCATGAGTTGTCAGTCCGTCCCTGAGCAATAGAGAAAAATCAGGCCACTGGGCTTGCTGTGCTACCTGACAACACTGTATATGTTTCAGGACAGGCTGGACCTAAGTAATAATCCTTTGGCAGATTAAACATCTACCAAATATACTGTATATTTCAGCAGCAAAGCTTTAAAATTCTCTCTAGCCTCTAGCTGCTGGATGTAGCAGAATGTGAAAGCACCTTAGTAGCATTCCTGTTTCAGAAACACAAGCAAAAAAAAGCATCATTTTAAACTAATGAGAAAAAAGTGTTATTAAACCCACAACTGAATAATCAGTCTGCATATGCAGAAAAGCATGCTTGTGATACTCACTGAGTAACCTAAGAAGTTAAAACTCTGCTTTGTGTAAAAAGGATGTTTGATCCTGTCTCCTCTGATCTCCCCCTTCTTCCACAGTCCCCAATCCATCTGCTCATAGAACAGAGCCTTGGTGGCAAGCTGCACATGCTCAGTTTTGTGTGTATTGCTAGACAATTTTTGTCCACAGTCCCCAATCCATCTGCTGATAGAACAGAGCCTTGGGGGTAAGCTGCACATGCTCAGTTTGGTGTGTACTGTTACATAGTTTGGGTTTTTTGTTTTCTTGGGAGAGTACATGTGATCAGCACATGGCTAATCAGCACTTTCTAGACAGAGGGTCAGGGGTCCTGCAGCCTCATAGGACAATCAGGGAAGAATGAAAACTCCTACATTGTTTTTTTTTTTCATAAACAGAGTTTTCTTGACTTGTGTTGTGCTTGTAAATTTCTTAATAAATCAGACTACTTCAGAAAAGTCACAAACAGTACAGCCCCTCTCCTCTTTTTGGGAGTGCCTGATTACTGTCAGCCCTGGCCTAGCTCCTCTGCCCCTCCCTATGGCTCCCTACATAACCTTTTACACAGCAGCTGGGAAGAATGAAGGGGCATACTATAGAATGTCATTTGAATGACCGCTGTGAGTCTACTGGCGCTGCTGAAATCACAACCAAGGTGGTGGTGCCCAGCAAAAATATTGGGGCTTGTTGATGTCTACACAGCGAAGCTTTTACAGTTAAATAGCTTGCCTAAAATATGATAAATGCACATATAATCTTATTGTAAGATTGTTGAAATGATAAGTCTGGCTTAAAGCTAGACAACATCTATCAAAGAATGAAAACTCATAATTTTTTTCAGAGTAAGAATTGTATACACGTAAAGAACCAGCAGGATAGCTATCAATAATTCTATATCCATCGAACTAATACATTTTTCATATTTTCTATATTCTAAAGGCTTAGTGCCCCCAAACAAGTGGCATGTTAATAACCAAGGAACGCCCTTTCTAATTCAGTGTTCTCAGTGATCCTGCAGACTATGTGTGTGTTTACACATGTTATTTTTTTGTCGGAAAATTGACTAGGTTACCACTGTGTTCACTGGCCTGTCAAAAATATCCAGACTAATTAGATGCTTGCTCTGTAGCTTCATTAATTTGAGCATTCATACAAGTAGAGGAGCAGAATAGGATCGGCTGTGTGTGTAATATTATAGAGGCAGTCCTGAATTACACAGGATTTTATTGGTTATATCAAGATTATATTTGTATAAAAGTGCGCTGGACAAAGACTGATGTCTTCATTACAAGGCGATCATACCCAATACAATGATCAAAAAGGTAAGTGAATGCTATAGAGATCCTTTATGAATATATGTATAAAGGAAGTAGTAGTGACATTGCACTGTATCAACCTTCCATAACAATGACTCGATATATAGGTTAGGCAATGGACCTATCCACAAGCTTTCATCAATGTTAATGATTACATAAATCAAACCATGCAGTACATTTTTTAAGTCTGTATTCCATAGTGAAAACAACATATTGTTCCAGTTTATTATTTAATAAATCACATGAAAAAAAAGATTAGAGAGATCTAGTATTTCAAAAATGTTTCTTGAGTGAATCTGAAAACAGAAAGCAAGAACCCAGCGTTTTTGAGCAAGCTGAGAGAATCCAAAAACGTCTTTAACTTCTTAGAGTATTAAGCAGCCTGGGCACATTTATTCAAACTCCGGACACTACAGAGGAATGTGCCTGGACAAGGTAGATAATTATTCAGCATGACTCCACCCAGAGCAATTATTTAAATACTGACAGACTCTGGAGAAATATGTTTTTTTTTCTGTAATTTAGGAACATGTACATATTACATTGTGCTTGACAAAGTACATAAAACCACACAAGTTCAATCTCCTGAACAATAAAGGATTCTAACCACAAACCAAAGCTGACCATAGAGTAAATGTTTTTTTTTTTAATCAGCCTTGCTCAACCGGCCAATCTTCGATCCATCTATAGCCAGCTTAAGACAGATTATCCAACCACCAACAGGTTTTTGGTGGAAAGCAATGCAAACTTCAGAAGAAGATAGTGGCCTTGTACCATGCAGTGTCATTTGTATATGTGGTAATGGTGCCTGTTCTAGTATTTTTGGAGACCAATTCTGTACAAGTGGCCAGTGCCCTTTGGGTGACTACTAGATATTTTTCCAGGAAAAATCTAAATTCCCTGAAAGCTGTAGCCAAGGCAAAGTTGTTTTACCTACCAAAGGATTTGTATTATAGTCTATCCAATCATTAGATTTACACAGGCCGGCCAGACAGGAGAGGCAGGTTGGCGACCTAACTTTTCCCTGATACAATTAAGCAGTCAAGCTTGGTCTCCATTCTGTGATTGGATACTGAGGGAAAAGCAATGAACTGGTGAGGTCATCTCTCCTTCGCTCTCTTTGGCAGACTGCTGCCCAGAGCTCAGCTTTAAACTGCAGTGGGTGTGTATCTGTTGATTTAGAGAACTATATATATATATATATATATATATATATATATATATATATGTATGTGTGTGTGTGCTGTTCTATAATCTAGATTGTAAGCTCCAGGGAACAGGGCCCTCCTTTCCCTCTTGTATTGAACTGTATTGTTGCTGTATTGTCTCCCATTATATTGTAAAGCGCTGAGCAAACTGTTGGCGCTATATAAATCCTGTATAATAATAATAATGTGGCACATACACTCCACAATGTAGCACATACGCTAAAGCCAAACTAATTTCATAGGTTGCCGAGAGAAAAAAAAATAAGTAGCCAAAGACACATTTTGTAATTAGGTTCTCTGAATAGCAATTTTCTAACTTTCCTTTTATTCTTCTTAAGCATACATTTTTAAAAGTAAACAAAACATTGTTGCCCCTCCCTCACAAAAAAACAGTTTAGCACACCAGTCAAATGATGCCGATATCCCTTGACTGGAAAATAGAGGGAGTCTCTTCTAACCATACTGATACCAATAATGACCTTCTGATGAAAATCAAGAATACAGTTCAAATGTAATTTTAATTTTTGTATTATTGTTATGCAGGATTTACAACATGAGGGCAGACAGTACAGTTAGAATACAGAGTTTACAATCTAGGAGGGAGGATCAAGTGATACAAAAGCTAATAAGGCTGCTTTCACACTGAGGAATTTTTTAAGCATTTTTGCGTAAAAAAAAAAAAAAAAAATGCACCTGAAAAGCTCAAGAAAACTGCTTCCCTGTGTATGTGAATGTATATCTATGTATGTTTTCACACTGAGGCGTTGTGCTTGCGGTGTAAAAACTCCTGCTTGCAGCATGTTTGGGGAGTTACAAAAAATGCCCCAAAAAGCCTCTTTCCATTGAAATCAATTGAAAATGCCTCAAAAGCACCTCTGAGAAGCATTTTTGGTGCAGTTTTAAGTCACGTGTCCTTTAAAAAAACTCCGTAAAACCGCCTATGCCTTTTTGAGGTGTTTTTGCGGTGGATCAGTGTGAAAGTAGCCTAACTGTGTGGGATGAGCTGATGGAGAGAACATAAAACTCCAGTTGTTAGTTGGGGCAGAATAGGCGTCTCTGAAGAGGAAGGTTTTTGGGGATTGTCTAAAAGCGAACAGAATAAGAGATAATTGGGCTGATTGGGGTAGAGAGTTCTGTAGGATAGAAGATGCTCGGGAAAATTCCTAGAGGCGAGCATGGGAGGAGGTGACGAGGAAGCCAGAGAGCAGGAGGTCTTGGGAGAAATTAAGAGAATGAGTGGGTCAGATTTAGAGACTAGGTTAGTGATGTAGATGGAGGATGAGTTGTGCATTGTAAGCAGTTGTTAGTAGCAGACACTGAATGGTTGGTAAGGTGGATGAGCCTGACAGCAGTACTTATGATGGACTGAAGGGGTGCTAGCCTATGTTGAGTTGAGAGATGACCAGGGAGTGAACTAGGAGCTTCGTGGTATCATTCCTTAGGAAAGGGTATATTTTGGAGATGTTGCGCAGGTTGAGGTGGCAAGATTTGCACAGTGATTGGAAATGGGGCTGAAAGGATAGTTCAGAGTCCAGGACTACATCTAGAACCTTGGCATGCAGGGACGGGCAGATAGTTGTGCCATTGATTATGACAGAGAAATCAGGGGAAGAGGCTCATGGGGAAGGAAAAATTATGAGCTCAGTTTGGATAGATTGAGTTTGAGGACGTGGTGTGACATCCATTCTGATAAATCTTTTAAATTATTTAGCTCAGAGAGGTAGATGGACATTTTTTAAACTGATTACAAACTCTGGATTATTAGTGTGATGGTATTTGTATTTACAGGAAATATTGTGTTCTTCCCATTTAATGAATAATACATGTAAAATGTAGTTATTTCAAAGCCTTGATGTAATTGAGCAAATTATGTACCGTATATTTTGCTCCATAAGACGCACTTTTTTCCTCCCAAAAAATGGGGGGAAATGTCTGTGCTTTTTATGGAGTGAATATGGAGTGGCCGGCCTGGTATTGCCCCTGTCGCTGCCGCCGTGTTAGAATACCGAGCCGGCTGATCGGCTCTTCTGTGGCATCAGCAGGCAGGGCCCTAAGCAGCTGCCCCTTAAAGCGGAGTTCCAGCTGAAAAAAAAAATAAAAGTGAGCAGCTACAAAAACTGTATCTGCTGACTTTTGAAATACAGCCACTTACCTGTTCCTCAGTCCAGCAGTGTCCTCACCACTGCTGGTTACACCAGCCGTCTTCTCTCCCTGGTGCCGGCATCTTTAGTGTGGTCACCCGGCTGTGATAGCTTGTGGTTTCACAGCCGGGTGCCAACTGCGCACGCGCAAGAAGCTCTGCTCTTTTTGAATGGTCCCGTAGTCTTCTGGGACCTGTCGTGTGTCCCAGAAGACTACGGGGAGGGAGGACAACTTCTGCTTCCGATCGCCTAGGCGATCGCAGAGGAAGTGGGAGCGGGTACCTGTCAAATTCGGGTACCCGCTCCCCCCTCCTGCTCCCCAAAGGTCTGCAGTCTCTGGTCATCTCCTGTACTATTTCTACAGTCTCTGGTCATCTCCTGTAGTATGTCTGCAGTCTCTGGTCATCTCCTTAGTACGTCTGCAGTCTCTGGTCATCTCCTTAGTACGTCTGCAGTCTCTGGTAATCTCCTTAGTACGTCTGCAGTCTCTGGTCATCTCCTTAGTACGTCTGCAGTCTCTGGTCATCTCCTTAGTACGTCTGCAGTCTCTGGTCATCTCCTGTAGTATGTCTGCAGTCTCTGGTCATTTCCTGTACTATGTCTGCAGTCCATTGGTTCAGAATATTTTTTTTTTACTTGTTTTCCTCCTCTAAAACCTAGGTACGTCTTATGGAGTGAAAAATACGGTATATTACTTTGCTTATTTTTTATTGTATTTTTTTTTTTAATTTATTAAATGTGATCCATAGGCTGATATGTAGTCTGCTTGCACATTTAGGTATCAGAGCACATAAATAACAATTAAAAACAATGATTGGACTATATGGCTGAAATTTATTGATACAGCCTGAAAAGCGTGAATGGCTGCTTCTTCCTAATACATTTAACAGATGTGAACAGCCTCACAGATTACCTTAAAGTGTATTTGACCTAGACTAAAACATTTCTAAAGTAACAACACTTCTGAAGTGCACACAGCTTGCCCAGCCTGCTATGGAGACCCCTTGGATTCTAAACCTAGATTGTACATAGAAGATTGACTTTTGCTCAAGTCTAAACAAAATCCCAACACCTTCTTGACATCATGTCTCAACCCTGTCACTGAACTTTCATTCTACTGAATACTGACGTTCTGGCACATAATAATTGTATGAGATGGATCAAAGCTTATTGCCAATATAGGCTCAAGGTTTGCAACTTCCTATTTGTGTATGTGAGAGACAGCAAGGTCCCTGCTGTAGGTGAATTAGGAATTTCTCTTCTGCAGTTACACATCAATAAGCAAACGTTGATCTCATAACAGTCTAAATTGGGTCTTCACCCTCTCTAACTACTTTACCTAGTTTTATTCCTTCCCCTCTTTAAAAAACTGGATGCAGAAAAAAAATTCTCACCCACCAAAACACCTCTTCTGCAGGACCAAGGGCTTCTCACTCTTCCAGCATTTCTTGCCTAGGTGAGAATAATGTGTCTTCCACCCCCTTCCAGAAGTCTCCTGGAATACCCACATCATGCACACGCACAAGGCTTCAGGGCAATGCCAGGCACACTGTGCATGTGTGGACAATCTGGAGCATACTGCACATGCAGTTGTGAGAATCCGGAAGTGACACCTGGCCCTCTGAAAATAGTGACTCAGGACCCAGCCTGCAGCAGTGAAGCAACAGGTTTTACAAGACAACTCTTGATTCACTGGGCATGCGAGTATGTTTTTTGAGGACTAACCTAATGGGAAATTTCTCTGTAAGACCCATCTACTTGCTCCCATTTGCCTCTAAACTTCTTGATCAGCTTACCTAAAACTGTCTGAGCTGCTACTGCAATGATAACAACCTTCTCAACCCCCTACAGCTTCCACCCTCAACATTTCCCTGAAACTGTCTGACTGAAACTCACTAACGACTTACTAACTGCTGAAAACCAATGGCCACTACTCCGTACTCATACTTAGACCTTTCCACCATTTTTTATACAGTTGAACATCTTCTTTTTCTCCAAAAACTCCAATCCCATGCCCTCTGCGAATCTGCTTTATATAATTCTCCTCCTACCTATCACAGCACACCTTCAGTGTAACCTACAACTCTCTCTCGCTTCTGTTGGGATTCCCCCAAGGCTTTGTCCATGGGTCCTTTCTATTTTCTATTTTCCCCATACAACTCTTCCCTGGGCCAGCTGATAATCTCCCACAGCATCCAATACCATCTCTATGCTATTGACATCCAAATCTATTTTTCTATTCCTCAGCTCACCATATCAATCATCTTATGCATCACTAATTTACTGACTGACATATCAGTATAAATGTCACACCACTTCCTCAAACTTATTCTGTCAAAGGCTGAATGTTTACTATTTCATCCTCCCCCATTCCCCGTCCCTCAACTTTAACAGTGAGATCAATAGCACAACCATCAGATCCTCCATACATGCTAGGGTGTTAGGTGTAATCCTAGACTCTGATCTTTTCTTCGGGCCCCATATCCAGTCACTGACTAAATCTTGCCACCTCAACCTGTGCAACATTTTCATTGTTCACCTCCAACTAATGGCAACAACAATTTACTAATTTGATCCCTTGTTATATCCACACTGAACTATTGCAACCCTTTTTTGTTGGCCTATGTTTAAACAGACTGTCCCTCATTCAATTTATTATGAACGCTGCTGCCAGACTAATCCACCTTACTAACTGATCTGTAGCTGCCATCACTCTCTGACAGTCCTTCCATTGGCTTCTACTAGCCCACTTTATATAATTTATAATACTAACAACCACATACAAAGCCATGGAAGCACTAGTCAGGTAGGCCCAATTTCCTTTATGTGCTTTTAAGGCAGGGGTGTCAAACTGGCGGCCTTCCAACTGTTGTGAAACTACATCATGCCTCTGCTGTTACGGATCCGCCAGGTGGTACCTCTGGCAGCCCACTAGGCGGAATCACCCGGAGCGTGGAGTCTAAGTCCCGGTCTGCGTTTTCACCAGGGCCCTTGATGGTGGGGATGGACTTGGAGCAGAACCAGGACCAGGTCACGACCTCCGAGCAATGCCACCAGTGGCAGAGGGAGCCTCCGGGGATGAGAGTAAATCAGAAGAGAGCCAGAGGAGGCCGGCAGGACCAGGCAGGATAAACCGGCGGTTGTCACCGTGGGGAATGGCGAGGTACAGAGACGGCAGGCAGAGAGTGGTCAGGTCACACGCAGGGTCAGTATCGAAGTCAGTCCGCAGAATGGTCAAACAAGCCGGGGGTCGGGATAGGAGAAGGCAGCGTAGACAGGGGCAATCCGGGTCAAACTCAGGAGAAGGCAGCGTAGTCAGATAATCCGGGTCAGAGCTGGAGCAGGCAGAGAGGTCAAACAATCCGGGTCTAATATCACAGGGCACAGGAAACTTCAGATAACAGGTCAGACCTTGCGGCGATTTGTGACAGTGCAGGGCATCTTTAAATATCGCGCCCTGCACTGTCATTGGCCGCCCAGGACGCGCCCCCGGGCTGTCATTGGCCGCCCAAGGCACGCCCGCGGCTCCTACTGCGCAAGCGCGGCATCCTGTCAGCCACGGCCCGCCGGGACCTGGTGCTTGTGTCCCTGCGTGAGCCGCCGCTAGTGCGCGTGCGCCGGGGACGGACATCTGCCTTTGGGAGTCATACTTGTAACTTCAATCTTGCAATGCCTCATGGGACTTGTAGTTTGGAAACAGCTGTAGGGCCGCCAGTTTGACACCTGTGCTTTAAGGCATAAAGTATTCCCACTCGTTTTTACAAGTATGCTAAACTTGTAAAAATTAAAATGCAGGCAACTAAAGGCCTGTGCATACCTGCAGATATCCAAGTGTTATATTAATCTGTTGTATTGGGGGGGGAAGGGGGGGGTGAGGTGAACCCATTGAACAAACCTTTAGTATGGAAGTAGTTTCATTACCAGGAAAAGCATTAGTTTTTTCATTTTGTGTTTTAGCTGTGCGTACCACTACTGTGGTTCAGATTTATCAAGCTACAGTGACAGAGGTGCTAAATAATGCTTAAGACATGATAAAATGGCCTCTTAACCAATGCTAATGAATATCATTTTAGCATGCCCTAAGCACTAGTTAGCACTTCTTAAGTGATACTGCAGCTTGATGACTCAAGGCCTTTATCCGTGTATCTTGAGTTCAAAGTTGGTTTTATCAATCATCCATAAACTGAAAAAAGATTATGAGTGGGTTATAAATTAATTTGTATAGTTTAATAACATGTAAAAGACTAAGCTTTATCTCACTGTTGTGGAAAAGGATCACAGGTTTGATTATCATAATTACATACATTTCTTCAGCACAGGAATTTGTGAAATTCTCCAGAAAAGGTTTCCTAAAATCCCTGCCATGTAGTATGTATATTTTACCTGAAGGGGATTTTATTTATTATAATTTCTTTTTTCCTAACGATACTGAACCTTCAGGCAGACATAGACAAATATAAACAGTCCTTTACACAGGCATCACACCTTTTGTGTCCATACCTCTGTGTGGCGTCCCTTGATGTGGATTGTTAAGCCAAGACCCACAGTGAGTTTTCTGGGATGGTGAATCAGAGACCCCAGTACCATCACTGCAGTTCACAAAATTTTTCAGGATCCTCACTAAAGTTATCCCTTTGTTGGGAAATACATGTTTAAACAATTCAAGAGGCCTCTCTATTTACAGTCCTACGTAGTCCACAGGGGGGCCCATCAAACACCAGAGACATAGAGACATAGGGCTCAGATTTTCAGACCCATTCACCAAAGAGAAGCTTCTTACCATTGCCAAGCAGGTGGACCATTTTTACTGAGCCACCACTCATTCCCAACCCAAATGGGTCGCATTGTACAAAATCCCCACGTATTGGCTGCATTGTATATTTCTTTTACATGACCAATACAGTACTTATAACACCAGTCCAAATTATTATCTTTCCACTGTGCATAGACTCCCACCATGCCAGGCTTGGCATACCCATGTTGGTAGTATTCGCAAAACACATCACAGAGGCACTGTTGAGTTTAAACATTTATTAAACGTACTTGCATAGAATTACATATTTGACATAGGCAATTGTTTGCGTAGATTTTCTAAGATATGACAGTGTGTTGAATGCATAGTTAAGTTTTTCACATAACTCACCCAGAGTCAGGTGCTATAGAAGGGGTGCTTTGGTACTCATGAGATTGTTCTCTTCTTACATTGTTTTGATTCTTGCCTAAGGGTTCAGTTAAGCTCCAGCTTTACCCTGAAGAAGAATGTATAAGTACACACTTCACCTTTCCCCTGAAGAGGAAAGTGATGTGCTCTACATCTGTTCTCTTGTGGACTTCTCGTCTTTCCTAACCACCTCTCCCTTAAATACCCCAATCCAACTCACTTGAATGACAAGGGTCAAACCTCTAAAACAGGAAGTATCTGTTTTTAGAAGTATACTTGATTAACAGGGGCTCCACTCTGCTACCATTTTCCTTCCCTCCTTAACTATGGCACATTCTCGTGCAGGGAATAAAGAATCACAGAGCTCTCAACTCACAAGTTAACAAAAGTTAATGATTTTTACACACAACTTCGATGAACCAACAGCTAACACAGGACTTGCAAGTC